TAAAGTAAAATTTTATTTAAGAGGTATGTTGTGAACAACTAATTTCGGATGTGTAGTAATGTTTATACTATTATGTATTTACTTAACGACAAATTTACGATATGTCGAAATGTGTGTCTAGAATGTGTGCTCGTAAGTTCAACGACACTATTTTCAAAGTTTAAATTTAGAATTGTCACGTGACTGTCCTCATTTGTTTCTGCAGATTTATGAACGTAAAATCTTGCTTAGCATGACATACTTTATATTTTCCGTTTATATTTGATGTTAATATCCGACATGTCAGAAATGCTAGGAAGCAATGTTGTTTTAGAATCTTTTGAAGAGTTTATATAACTGTTTATTAACCTCATTTGTTGTTGGTGTTGTTGTTGCTGCTGTTGAACCTTCTGTTACAAAAGAAAAGTCCTATTTTGGTATCACTGTACTTTCGTAAGTTATATTTGCGTTTCTAAATAAAACAACAAGTTACAATAACAAATGTGTGCCTTGGTATTTTGTTCTATACTCAAGGTCAAATTTGTTCTTTCCTCCATATCTTACATAAAATCTAAGAGTTTATATACAATCTATAACAGGTTTTTTTCAACACTTATTTTATCACGCCAATCACGTCGACTTGACGAACAGAGTAATCGACCCAATGTACCGACGATAGATCAGACAGTCTTTTAAAATGAAAAAAAAAAAACGTTATTTAAGGTTTATTTAGTTTAAACATATTTCATTTAGTAAATATAGAAGCATGTATCATGTTACATCACAATAAATATGGATTTTAAATTTATTTAATCATGGATCATTTAATTTATTAAATATTTAAATTAAGATATGCATTTATTTTATCTGGACAAGAACAAAACGAAAAGATCCAAAATACAGTTAAGATAAGGATGAAATAATTCTAAAGAAGCCTAACTTTGCTGTAATACCAATACGACCAATGTACAACACAATCAGCCGCTACTTATGTGACCTGTTCATCTGTACTTTTCTTAAATATTTTGAAATTGTCCTAATAAAACATGATGAATTGTTAGACCAGAGGGAAAGACATTCAAATTAAGTTTTCCAGGAGTTAGGGCTTCTAAATACGTGTACTTAGTTTAGATGAAACCATCTTAAAGGCTTCGTTTCTTACTGGATATGTTATGATATGTTATATAGTATAAAGTACGTATCATTAATTGAGATATCGATAAAATCGTCCATGACTGATCATGAAATATCTTAGATTAATTACGTCCTTGTCCTATTACCTTGTAATACCTTTGCTTTATGAATTCTCTTTAAATACATGCGATGTAGCAACTGAGAAGCCCGCGCGAAAAATTGCGCTGATGACAGATACCTTGGACAATCATTCCTGCTCACATATCATTTACTAATTAGGTAACTACAGGACCTTATTCCAAATGTTTTGTAAATCATTTTTACCATATAGTGTGGGAACGCAGTTTTATTCAAAACTTGTCCAAATCGTGATAACTGTTTTCAACGAATGGATGGAACGTTACTCTAAAATGGTCAAACTTCGCCAATTTTGACCAGCTACATAGGTGCAATGTTGCCGCTGTATAACAAATAATTTCCTTTTTGACAACCTACGTCGACTATTACTTACATTGGACACATGACAATGTGCATTTTTAGATAGAAATAATTATCTGACACAACGGTTCTCCCTACGTCATATTAAAAATGAACATTTATAATTATAATTATTATTATAAGTATATGAGAGAACCGGTCAAATAATAATTATATCCTTCGGAGAAGAACTATGTTACACTTCATATCTATCGTTCTAATTCATTTCAACATTGTATATATTGAATGAATGTATATTTTGTACTGTGTTTGATTATGAATAGAACATGTTTAAGCCAAAATCATAATAATAATTATAATAATAATATCCCGTAAGGTCTCTATAACTATAACTAACATTACACTAAGGATCAGTGACTTTCACTATAGTAATAAAAAGGTAAACATGTTGAAATTATTTCTATTTTTCTTAATCTTAACTATTGTATCTATAAGGAAATGAACTACTATGAGGGTTTTGGTTTGTTCATTAATAAGATTCACATATCGTGTATGCTGAAAGATTATTAGTCTAAATATTAATGAGGAAATAAGGTTGATTTTTTCACATTTGACCATCCAGTAAAAGTTTTTTTTTTAAAATCTTATTAAACCTTAATATTGATGTTATATATTTGTATGCAGTGCAGAACTGCACAAAGTTTACTGAATAGCGCATGAATGGTGACTTTGTCATTGATACTTTTGTCACTTCTTGCCATTGACGGTTTTGTCATTAATGCCCTTATCGTTGAAAAACTTGACATTTATGACACTGTTATTGATGATCTTGTCATTAATTTAATTATCTTGTCGCTGCTGACATTGCCATTGATAACCTTGTTATTGACAATTTAGTCATTGCATTTATAACCTTGACATTGCTGTTCTTGACGTAAATGGCCTCGTATTTGCCAGTGTTGTAATTAATAATCTTGTCATCGGTGACCTTGTCATTCATGATCTTGACATTAATGACATTTCCTTGATAACCATGTCATTGATAACGATGTCACTTACAACTATGTCATTGATAATGGTGTCACTGATAACCATGTCATTGATAATGGTGTCACTTATAACCATGTTTTGATAATGTTATCACTAATAGCCATGTCATTGATTACGTTGTCACTTATAACAATGTCATTAATAATGTTGTCACTGATAACCATTTCATTGATAATGCTGTCACTTATAACAATGTCATTGATTATGTTGTCACTTATTACCATGTCATTGATAATGTTGTTACCTATAAATACTATAATTATGCCTTTGTCCTGTTAATGATACTGCTTGGTGGTTCTAACGTCCGTCTCAAATCTCAGGATTTTCATTGGTCACTGTACATCCCACGGCAGTCTCAGACCAATCAAATGACTAGTATCTGCGTTTCAGCATTGTGAAATTTCTTTTATACCTCTTGTGTGAGTAAAGGAAACACGACCATGACGCCTGTAAGGCACAATGTCACGATCTTATAACTGAGAGGCTGCTAAGCCATTGAAAACGATAGTCAGTGCTCACAAACCAAAATTGTTATGCATGTTATGCCGTAGATTTTGAGTACAATTTAGCTTTGCTTTGTTGAAGATACAAGTAATTTATTAATTATGAGACTACTCATAAAATACAAAATAATGAATGTAACAGAACATTTTATCATTATTAGTATTGTTGTTGTTTTTGTTGTTGTTGTTGTAATTATTTTGTTGTCATTTATTATTATTATCATTATTATCATTATTATTATTATTACATGTATTATTATTATTATTATTGGCGTCCGCGCCGAAGCGCGGCGCCCCTTTATGGAATGAAATCAGATTTTGTGAAAGGGCGACAGCAACTTCTCGAGCCTTTTAGTCGGTCATAATAAAAGCCGATCATTCCGATCGGTATGAGGCTGCTTGATTATTAATTAAAAGTGAAATGTCGCGATATGTACAATGAATAGCGAACTGGAGAATTTCGCAATGCTAACATTTTCAAATGAAATAACCTTTTCCGTCAATAAATCGCGCTCTTCGGGGTTTTTTTTATTTCATCATTTTGTAGTTCATAGTACGTTATTGTTGTACATGTATCCGAAAGCTATAAATAGAATGATGAGTTGATGACCTAAACATTCCGAAAATCTATTTATAGAGGGATGTACTCCTATCGGAACATCCCGGTCTCTCCCGGTCTATTTTGACCGGGATTTACTAGTGACCGGCGAATAGTATCACACGTTTATTGTCCGGTCTCTCCCGGATTTGGAGTAGATGTTTGATATCGTTACAGAACAGAACAAATTTTTTCCAAAACGAATGTTTGTCACTTAGTTTGGTTACAATAATTAATAAACACAGATAAACTCTATAATGTATTGATTATTATTATACATAAACGTAATTCGAAAAAACAACAACAACAATAGCATGTTTCATTTTATCTATATGAGATAAAAACAATAAATATGTACAATCATTGAGAAAAAAAAGGTACATTTTTATGGTATTAATATGACACTATCAACTTTGAAACATTTTATTTAATTTGTTATTCATGTTTAGTAAAGATGCCGAGGAATTTTCAAGTTACAAATTAGATTATATGAATTATTCCAATTTAAAAAATAATAAAGAAAAATACAAATGTACATGTACATTGTTTAAGAATAAGCAATATTATATCTTGAAAGATTAACCATAATTTACTGACTTTTTCCAGTTAAGTTTTGACTTATAATCATCGGTCAATATGACAATTGAATTCTTAAAATTTATTTTACAATTTAATAAAAAAAAGGGTAGAAAACGTAAAATCTCAGTATTGAAATAGCACATAAAACACAAAAAAGAAAAGAAAACAATATTAAAAAAATCTGTATTTTTTTTATTAAAATAGATATTATAATTATTGTATAATAAACAATTATGCTCAACATGATCAACATGGTAATATAACCAGTGTCATATTTTTACTAAGTGTGAACAGATACCTTAGGAGGGGTCTTCGCTAATAGCGATAACATAATGAGGGACAATTACACAAGTGTGCTGTTGATCATACGTTTCACATATGGATTATAAATGATTGTTTACATGTATATCCGTTGCTATTAATAATCACGATCATAAAGAAATAACAAGTAATATTCTAATATCTAACATGCCAATCAAAGTTCATAATGAATAAAGTCTTTCATCCGTTCATTGATAAGTGATGTACAATTCTGGTAAAAACCAATTAACAATTGAAAAGTTGTCATCATAATTATGTCTACTAGTTCATCTTCACTTGCTGCATTTCTTGCTTGGACGCCCTTTGATGCTTTGCATCAATGCTCTTCTTGTTATTATTATTATTATTATTATTATTATTATTATTATTATTATTATTATTATTATTATTATTTGTAGTGTGATCCAGGGACATCAGTATATCAGATGTTCGAGATATTTCACGAGAATCCACCCTACCATATGCTCCTGGGCGGCGGATGTTCGATCACTTCTGAGGCTACGTCACAAGTGTCATATCTGTGGAATATAACCCAGGTTTGCATTAATGAGAAACATTGATTTTTACTGCCTTGTAGATGCAGTACTAAACATTATCACGATTGCTGGTAAGCTTGAATAATTACAAGTATAATGACGATAAAAATGATATTGATAATTGTCCTGTAACACATGACAAATTGATATTTATTGCTAAGTTGCTATTAGCAAACTAACTTATTTAATTAAAAAACTACACTTACATCAGAAGCAATTTTCACGAAAAAAAATTTGACGTCACATCTAATGGTGAACATTATCGTGTAACTATTATGAACTCGACCGCAAAGGGAATTAAGGCATTTTCGATATAGAAGACGCAATGTCAAATTCAAATTTAAATAAAGCCCTGTGAAACAGATAATTGATTGGATTATTTTTATGATCATGGTATCTTTTAGGTCCTGATTGCGTGTGTGATGTGATAACAATAATTGTGAAAGGATGGTTATGCTCAGACGGTCGATTATTTAAGTTGCTCGTTAATATTACAATCTAATTTTTGCGTCGTGGAAATGAATGTGAATGAAATGTATTAATGTACACTCACAGGGAGTGGTCGCCTAGTGGCTTAGGGGTCGACCTCTATCTCCTAACCAGGGACTTAGGGTTAAAGGCCTTTTGGGGTCGTGCTCATGGCACCAGTTCTGGTAAAATTTAAGTTCTGACATAAATATGTTTAAAACTAGGCATAAATATGCAAGACATCGTAAAAACAATATTAAAGATAAATATTTCTAAACCTGTTTTGTGAGTATGAGTTTATACCTTTAAGTAACAAAAAGTTTATTGCTTAGAGTCTTAAAAAAAGTAAGAAATAAAAAAGAAACAATAATTGTATAGACTAGGAAAATATCTTTTAAATCTCTTGTTTTATCACAACATATCGGGTGTCCCAAAAGAAAGGTAACACTCTGATATCTCAATATTTTTGCGTTATATTCGACTATTTAAATGAACAATACACCGTTTAAATGGCTAAACTATGAAGTCTTTATAGTTTGTAAAACGGCGCTAAAAATCGTATAACGGCGTCTTGTATCGTTGGTTATCTAAAAATTATAGTTTATATAAAAAATGCGATATGTCCTTCTGCATCATAATTTAGCTCTGAATACTGTGATGCTAGAACTATTGTAAAGCTAGAAAAAGTTTGAATTAAAACTACCAAGGGAAAAATAAACAAGTAAACAAAAAATACAAAAAGAGGTATTTTGAGGCCACTGGGAACAATTTTGCTTCACACGGCTCACTCGTAAAACATTTTCCTCTTTATTAATGCTGTAATCACAATATGCTAAATCTGTATTTTACTTTTAAATGAACCCGACTTGATAAAGTATTTACTTCTTATCGGCCTTCGGGAAATTAGGTAAAAGCTTTACTGATAATATGTAAAATGCTTTCAAAATGAGGATTCAAATGAAACCATTGACATTATCTGTTTCAATTCCCTAACATCGCCATTTGCATGATTTTATGGAACAGAATCGTCAGATTGGACTTAAAAATTTGATAGGTTTCAATATCTCTATAATTGAAAAGAAATGACTATTTCTGATAATGAAATCGTCACCTGTAGAAAGATATGCCTATTGATTTTGTGCGTTTTGTATTAGCCGTCAGGGCTGGCCTTTCCTTCTTCGATGTAATTATTTAAACCATATATATATTTCTCTTATTAATTATATAAAGCTCGACGTTAATGTAAAGCTCATACGTAGATCTAATTATTTTTTGTAAAGAAGCGAATAACGTGAGTAATTCAAACATATTGTATAAAGGTTTCCATTAAATTGGTAATGAAACCAATTTTTTTCTGTGATAGTTTCGTGGATTAATCTTTGTAGTCATAGAAATACAGATGCGAATTAAATTAGAATTATTTCTTATCTTGTATTAGAATATTATAAGAAGTTATTGAATGAAAAACAATTGTATGAGTTATAGATTTAATAAAGTTTGTATTTCAAAATTACAATATTTCATATAGCATGCTATGTATGATAAAAACAGATAATTTAGTTTTAATAAAGTTATTTGTATCTTAGATTTACGATGTCTTTGTTACAGGATTCAAATTATCATCAACCTTTTAAAGACAATAAATTATACTGCTGATAAAACTTGTATATAATACTTATATTGTCATCTTTTGATAGAGATACCCTCATTATTAATATTAATGATTTATATTGTCAGAAATTTCTAAAAGTAATTTAAAAAAGAAATTTATGTCATTCATTAATATTATATTTTCCCCTTGTAATGATACTATTTAAATGTCCTCTGTATTGTTAAGAATAATAAAAAGGAGTTGCCTGCTCATTTAGAATCTAGCCAAGAACATGATTTTTTCATAAAAGCCGCGTCACGACAAAACCAACGTAATGCGTTTGCGACCAGCATGGATCCAGACCAGCCTGCGCATCCGCGCAGTCTGATCAAGATCCATGCTGTTCGCTTACAAACCCTATAACAAGTAGAGAAACTGGTAGCGAACAGCATCGATCCTGATTAGACTGCGCGGATGCGTAGGCTGGTCTGGATCCTAGCTAGTCGCAAACGCATTATGTTGGTTATGTCGTGACGCGGCTCATATATCGACGGATATTTTAATGTCACTTTAACTAGTCCGTTCTGAGTATTTGTGTCTATGTCACTGAAACAGGTCTGTTTCCTTGAAAGTAGTGGGTAAATAATGATTGTGGAGTCTGGTGAAAAATCTAATAATTATCATATACCATACCATTACCGGCCGTGCATATATTTTGCCGTGACGTCATTTTCGTTATATAAACATAGTGTAAAGACGCGCTAAGTGTTAGCGTTGCACTATAGGCGGGTAATGAAAAAATATTCTTAAGCACTTTGAACAATTTTTATTTTAGGTATATGATAAATTGAATATTACATTCGTGTAGGTTCAGTTCTGAATTTATTGAACTCGTTGAATAAAAAAAATAATTTGCTCGTCAAAGGCTCGCATAATATAATTTTATTCAACTCGTTAAGTGATTTCAGCATTGAAGCTTCACTCATTAAATATCCTCTATTTGTGTCTTTAAATGACTATTTTCTGGTCTAATAAAATACTTTAAAGAAGCTGGTAAAAACTACTCACGAATCTCATATCTGTTGCTGTTTTTACCTGAATTGCACTTACAAAAAAAAAGAAAATATAAAGTCCTTAAGATGAACATTGTTTAAATTTTGCATTTTGAATGGCATGTTTTATTTATTGATTAATTTACATGTATTTTATTTATTTTTATTTATTTTTATTATCATTATGTTGTTGTTGTTGTTTTAGATATGTAGAAGGTAAACACTCCTTTGCACTAACATATTTAATAATTATTTATTTCAGTTTTCTTATGGCTCCTCATCGCCAATACTTTCAGACAGGAAAAGATTCCCGCGTTTTTTCCGAATAGCTTTACCCGACCAGAAACTAAATCCGGCACGTATAGACCTGATGAGAACATTTAACTGGAAGAAAGTTGCAACCATCAATCAAGCTTTGGAGTTCTTCTCAGTAGTAATCAACACTTTCTATTATTATTCTTTAAAGAAAATGCTATAGTTACATATTGGCATAATTATAGCAGAATGAAAATTGTATAGTAGAATTATTTGTATCATAGTTTGGGGTCATTTCTGTTAAAAATGTGTCAGAGTTAAATTGTATACCAATATATGCTCAGTGCGTTAACTGGAGTGATAGGTTTTAGTTACACGCACTCCAGAGCATGTCTATTGATTGGCTTACTTTTTGCTGGGGTTTACTTATTGTGACGGCAGAGAAAGGGAAAGCGACAGAAATATCATATTCAGATGCTCGTTCATTTGTTACTTTTTCTGGGGCTTTATATTGTGACAACAGGGAACGACTATGATACAAAAAAAAGAAAGAACATCAAAACACTCGGCAATCTTATTAATACTAAATAGTCGGGGGCTACGCCAACCGCGATGCTCTTTCTATAACATAACCTTTGCATTATCTTAGGAAATGATAGAGGGATAACAAATAAGGTGTAACCGAGGTCGTGTTCGAGTTATCTGCCATTAAACTGGAAATGTTTGCTATTTCAGGTCATTTCTATGTCAGATATCTTATCTATTGGTGAATAGTTTTTACATTTTATTCATGGTCACGATACAAAATTTATGACATTTGATGATTTGTTTTAACTTTTTATTGTAAGTAAATAGACGGAACATTCCGTAAAGATAGGTTATTTTTAAAGAAAGTTTGCATAGAAGGCATAGAAGACAAAATAACCAAACTTCTTCTGTTAAATGCTTGATATTGTTCTCAAACACATATAAAAACTTATCAAATAAGGATTTGCCGCGTTCACTGAATAATCTGCCCTTGAAATTCAAAACAAGGGGCAGATAACTTAAAAGGGAGAGCGATCTCCCCCTTCGTTTAAAATGTTTCGTCGGTAATCATATTTCAAGATGATGCAAGTTTTCTTAAAAAAAGAATGATCAATAGATATTTCAAAACGTTGATTGAAACAACATTTTATTGTTTAAGATTTAAATGACGGTGGTTTATGTATACTTCTAGCGTCCATGTGCAGGGTAAATCAAAATCAAACATAAAAGTTTCAAATTTGTGACATTCGTGTGAGGGGTACACACAAAACTAAAAAAACAGCCATTTTGCAATTACTGTATCTCTGTGTCACACATATGTCGTATATCACATTATCATCATTTTTTTTACGAAGTACTTCAAAAGTTATGAGACAGATTCATGATTATTACAACGGAAATTTTTTATCCTACTTTTCACAAATGATCTATCGTAAAGACGTGACATCAAAGTAAAAAATAAAAACATTTGTAGCTATAAAACACGATCTAGTTATTATTATGAAGTGATTTCTTAGCAAATCCGTAAAGCAATTTTCCTTGGCATCACACCGTAAAATATCAGTAGCTTTGTCAGAAACTGTTTTCGATTGCATGATGAATTACTACGTTACTATGGTAACTAATGGCGTAATCTTGCGTGCGTGTCTTTGTTTGAAGACGTTGTTACTTGGATAGTTATAAAAAGTAAATTTAGATTTAGCACGAGAGTAAAAACAATGGTCTGTTTAATAAAAATATTTTCGGATGGCTATTCTGTTATCTTTATTTTAAATGAATTCTACGCATATAATTGAATAATACTCATATAATGAATATAATTATATAAGACAGTATTTGGCGCCCTGTTGTGGACTGAGTAGATGAGTTGATTATAAGAGGACCTTACATTTAGCTTTTAAAGTAATTCACTCGCTAATATTTTAAGAGAAATTTGTGCTGACTTGCTTATATTTAGGATATATATTAGAGATATACTTTGTTTTTGTTTGTAAGGTTGTCTCATAATGGGTTTTTAACATAAATGCTCATCATTATGGCTCATTACAGTAGAAATAAGAATAATGATTGAAAAATAACATGGCTTATATTTTATGGAATAGATTTCTTGTTATTTGATCCATCACAAACATTCGAAAAGAAAAAAGGCAAAGCATTCACAAACACGAAAGTTAGTTCATATTACACAATATCAATAGTTAACAACATTTAAAATCTGAAATTTCGTCTTTAAGACACTAATTATTCTGCTAACTATAATTATATTCCCTATTATATTGTATTTCTTCACTAATTATACAAATAAAATGTAAAACCGTATTGCAAAACATATTTTACGAAACAAATACGCAGTTTTTCATAATCATCCTAGTTCGGCCTTTTCAATTTTACATATTTGGGAAGGACGGACTTGCGATAAAATGACATAAAAGCACAAAAACACAACGCAAGATGGCAATTTCGTATATTTTTTTCTTCTGTGCAGGGCTACAATTACGGTAAGACGATATGCGAAAATATGATGCGAAACTGTGAGACCAAAACGAGAAGAAAACCAAACCCGAATCTAGAATGAGTTTGTGTAATGCCACCTGAGATTTTAATTTGACATAAAATGCCAAACCCCTCTCTGGTATAATCATGCATTACCAATTTATCGATATTTTAAAAATATTTTTGCGACCCTCTCCAGTAAAAATCTTGGTTTCGCGCGTGTAGAAAATACATTGTATAACCATCATTTATAGTGTAAATCACAGATAAATCAGTCTCATAATTATTTGTCCGATTAGTTAACAAAAGGCGTAAGAACGGTGGTTTATATGAAATCTGTTGCTGATGTTTTACTTGTTCATAAATGTTGCGAGACTGTCAAAAGAAATGGACTGACACGCCGTCTGAATGTTGATTCAGTCTTTTCGATTCTTTAATGCCATTGGTTTATATTTCTTTTGGGCTCTGGGACTTTAAAACATCAGAAGCCTGTGCTAAAGATGCTGCTTATTAATTTTCATGAAAAGTTTGAACATATGTTTAAAAGCAAAATATTGTTAAACGAAAGAACTGTATTTTATTTTATACAATGTAAATTGCATTTGCAATGCACATAAATTACCAAAAAAGTCAAAAATGCAAAAAAAGCACGCAGAAGAAATACGGTGATAAATACTGCAAAATCAGTTATTAATCGCACATAAGTCGAAATTATCACTGGAATCTTAATATATTTTTTTCAAGTTACAAAAATAGCAAATCAAACTCAAGGTAAATTTTATGTTCATTTTTTTATTCTTTCTCGCAACATTTTTACTTTTTGTAAAAAGAAATAATATTTTGGTAATTTTTATTTCAGGTTATAGATGACTTTGTACAGAGAGTACAAGGAACTGAGATTACTATAATATCACAGGAGATATTTGTGAACGACCCTCTTACACGAGTACAAAATCTAAAGGTAATTATTAGAAGATATTTGTGAACGACCCTCTTACACGAGTACAAAATCTAAAGGTAATTATTAAAATATATTTGTGAACGACCCTCTTACACGAGTACAAAATCTAAAGGTTATTATTAAAAGATATTTGTGAACGACCCTCTTACACGAGTACAAAATCTAAAGGTAATTATTAAAAGATATTTGTGAACGACCCTCTTACACGAGTACAAAATCTGAAGGTAATTATAAAAAGGTATTATAAACGACCCTCTTACACGAATGCAAAATCTACAGGTAAATATTAAAAGATGTTTTTGAACAACCCTCTTACTCGAGTACAAAACCTTCAGAAAATTATTTAATTAAAGATATTTGTCAGCAATCCCTTTCTGAGAACAAAAAAAGTAACATTTTTTAAAGGACAGCTCTTTAGTACGTATACTGAAAACTTCAATAAAGATATTATCGTACATATTAAAACTAATTTTAATATCCATTTGACACGCTCAATTAAAGTACAACGATAATTTTTATGTTCAATTTTACTACAGTTCTATGAACAAGCACTTCATATGACATGGCTGTAAAATCATACTAATTGATTATTATACTGTTCTTTCCAGACACACGATGCACGGATTATCATGACAGCAATGTATGAGCATAAAGCACGAGATGTTCTCTGTGCGGTGAGTATTTAGCGTAATACCACGTGATTCATTAATATCACGTGATCTATAAATCACGTGATCCATAAAAATATCTATTGTAGTTGAAAAACGACAACGTTCTTGCATTATGTCTGCCATGGCCTTATATCATAATATACCATACGACGCTGGACAATCTTTCAACCTGGACAAAACAGTTCATCACTTATTAAACAATTTCAAAGTATTAAGCGAACAGTGCAGACCATGATCAAAGGGAAAGAAAGTGTCCGCTGGTCTGCACTGGTCACATGGATATTTCATTTATTAGGGGTTATCAATTTGTACTAACGGACAGACGACATTTAATGTGTTTAAATTACAACGGAGAGTAACCATATTAAACCACTAAATGTGTACAAAAGTGGGAAGTAATTTTTCTGATTATAATCGGCAATGTTCACCATTCGGCCCCGTGTTCACAAAGATTTAAGGATAAAGATCGAGATAAGGATCAAAATTTATGTTTGCCATTGTTTATTCTCTTTTATCCAAATTTCAAAATTAAATAGTGGACTTTTGAAATGGCATATGTTAAATTATAATTTAGAAAAAAAAGGTATTATTTTGTATCAGGTTTCCAACATAAAAACGGGGAAATTTATATTTTAAAGGGATTAAACAAGAACATGTTTTTCAAAAAAGTGTTCTTCGTGAATTTTCCTTTCCATTATTTTTCCCGTTCAAGCACATATTTTGTCATTTCACAATAATGTGTTACGCGTGAGAATTTAACCAACGTGCTTTTAAAAACCTTATTTTAAAATGCCTGTGAAGAATAAAGAATGCAGTTCTTGCCATCCAGTTTCTATATTCAATTTGTAAAAATCATTGTTTCTTTGAAAGGTGTATAAACATCTACTTCTGAAAAACCATCTCATGCAATACCTTAAAAACAATACAGATTTCCTTATTATGTTTGCTTTAGGCTTACAAAGTTGGGTTGTACGGGCCAAAGATTGTATGGGTATTCGTTGGATGGTTTTCGTCGTTTTTCTGGAGAATAAATTTAGAAAACGTTGGGTGCACTGTACAAGAAATGGACCTTGCAGCCGAAGGATCCTTTATAACTGGACCTGTTTATCAAAACCCTATAGAAGAGCGTGGAGTTGCTAACCTTACCGGTAAAATTTTTCCCCTCTGAAGATGACATTAGTATTGTCGAGAGAGAGATGCTTTTGAGCTGATAATAATCACAAAATGTTGTCCATAGAGATATTCCTTGTTATAATTCTTTGTTTTTCTTCTCTCAACTTCATTTACTTAGCTAGTTCCCTTCACTTCCTTGACATTTGCAAGCAAAATAACGAAATGATTTTTTTAATGATCAACCAACTCATTATTGGCGCATTTTTTAAACAACCTCTGCTAGTATGTAATTATATATCTAGGTCATTTTAAATGAAGGTGCTTTTTGACTTTTCAGGATATTAACGACATGATAACATTTAATATTACTTATGATACATATGTTTACTAATGAAATAAAAAGAAGATATAGTTACATTAATTATTACGAGTATTACATTGAAAAATAAAGACGTTATGTGACATGTTTCTGAATGTTTTCTTTTAGAGAATTATTGTGAAAATTTCTATACATTATAATATTTCAAGCTAAAGAGTTCGATGCGTTGTATCACAGCCATAGTACGTACCTACCAGCATATAAGTCCAATGACTTTGTGGCCCACCAATGTTATGACAACATATGGGTGTCGGCAATTGCATTTAATTGTACTATAAAAAGGATGGCAGAAATTGGTAAGACATTTATATATAATGTTACCATGGACCCTCATCTTTTGCATATTTCATAATAACTTTCTCATTAAAATTATCCTTATAAAATGATAATTGTATAATGTATATATTCGAGCCGCCCTACTTAAGCATCTTATACGAGTATTATGATCTTTTGCCCAAAAGAATGAATCAACTTTTGACAATCAACTTTTGACCAATATACTAGCAAAAGAACATCTGAAGAACGTTGCGTTTGTGTTTGAATTCGAGGTAACTGGGTTGAATATTGATCATGTCACTATCTAAAAAGGCGTCCGCCTGATAACCTCGATAGGGAGAGCAGCGGATTAGTAATCCGGCAGTCGGTGGTTCGATGCTCGTAGGAGTCGCTATTTCTATTTTACAATTGATCTCAGATATTGATTTAAGGATTAATAGAGATAAGTACTCAGTATTCGGTCACATGCGGAGAAAATGAAGTACAAAAGAGGTATCGAAGTGGATCAACTGTCGAGGTATGACTAAAATATTTGTTAGAATCGGCGTAAAGCTCGGGAAAGTAAAGAAACTGCCAGATGAAATACAAAATCTAAAAAAGGCACTTGTTGTTCCCGTCCAATACTTAAGCTGCTGTATGGTTAGTGATTCTGAGTTTTGACACTCAGCTTAACATAGGAATACTGAATAGATTCACCATTCAGTGTGACTATTATGCAATACATCGATTTAATCTTTTAACTTGATAATTAAAATGGGAGATTGCCTGAGCGTTATCGTTTGTAATGCAAACAGTGAATGCTTTCAAGTGGAATTTTGTCTCGTAGGTACTTAGAAATGCAGCCATGACAGGAGATTTGTTGCTATTGATTATTGCGTATATTGGCAAAGTGTCTGTTTTTACTTTCTTTATTCTTCAGAATCTTAACAATTTTTTTGCAGGTCATCCTAAAACTCTGGATATGTTCGAATATGCCGATAGAGACATCAATGATATTATATTTGAATGTATGGGCAATACGTCAATGACAGGCGTATCGGGACAAATTGTTTTCACTGAAGGTGCAGATCCTAACAGAATTGTCAAAATGGAGCGCATTCAAGGTACAATTGGTGCTTAGAGCTGCGTTGCTGCGGCTGTACAAAATTTCTCCGTATTTCAGACTGGTTTTAAACCAGTATGTCGGTGTTGATGTTGTGACATATATACATGTAATACCAGGTGATAGAGGTGGCTAACTGAACTACTTGAGCAGTATAGAATATATGTGATGATGTATATTGATGATATATCTAAATATACCATTTACTATATATAGCTTTATAACTATCATGCCTTTTTCAAAGGTAAAATACTAAGAAATTAAACACATATGCCAATCAGATGATTTAACTGTTGTGTTGGGTTCTAACAGATATTTTGTCATCCTCAAGACAATTCTGGTTCTATTTCCTCTGAAAGAATCAACATCAAAAGGATAATTAACAAAGTGTCGCTGACCAAAACATTGAGGTGAATTGTCATTCTACAATACAATATCAATTAAAGAATTTCAATAAAAAGTATAGTAATACTGCACATATTATCCTACATGGTTGCACATGCAAGTTATGTTAAACCTATCCCTTGAATTGGGGAAAGGGAGCTCCGTTGCATTGAAGTTTACTTTGCTGACTTCAACTTCCTTGCTTTCATAAATGTGGATAGGTCAGACTCAAGACCTTTTAGATTTGTAGGGTTTGGCTTAAAACCCAAAAGTACAATATTACATATAGATGTTATAAGACTTATACAATTACAGGTGGAACACGGGAGCTGATTGGTCATTACAGACAAGATAAATTTCCAAATGGTTACTTTGAATGGATTGAAGATTCAATCAAATGGAAAGGTATTCATTTATAGAAGCAACAGTTATAAAAAATTAATACTGTCTTAAGTCATTGAAATACTTTGTTTGATACTAGCTATATTTTAGGTGACCCAAAAAAGATTCCATAAATATTTTGCAGTTCTGACTTCGATCATCAATTATACATAATACAAAAATTGGGCGCTGAAGGAATGTGGAGTACAAAGAAAAAAAATATAAATATTTAAAAGCTTGTATTTGCAAAATAAATGAGTTGAGACATTAGAAAGGTCCAATCCATCGTAAATTCTAGCTTTGAGAATAATTCTTAGTTAGCGATTGCTCATCAAAAGGTCACTTTAAAACAATGACACTTTATCAATTATCCCTTGATATTCAAATATAGAATATCAATTTCCTGCGTTGTCAGTTATATTTTTATATAACATCTCTTTGAAGAAAATTCTTAATTGCAATTCTTTATTATTTAAGATGGAAATATACCACGTGATTCAACGTTAGTCACGCAGAGGGAAGTGAAGATTCCGTTAACACTCTACATACCAGTGTGCGTACTGTCTGCAATCGGGATTTGTCTGGCAATCTCCTTCTTTGCCTTCAATATCATTTATAGACAAAACAGGTATTTTCATAGTTGAAACAAATATTAACATATATCCTGGATTGATATACCGTTGAATGTATACATTCTTGAGTCGTGTATAAGGTCTTTGACAAGCGTTCACTTCTTTAATTGATGCTTAACATATGACATGCATGATGTCTTGAAATGATGGTTAAAATGATAATTATGATGAAAATGTGGACACTGATGATGATGACGATGACAATGTTGTTGTTGTTTTTGTTGTTGATGATGATGGTGGTGATGATGATGATGATGATGTTGTTGTTGTTAATATTGTTGTTGTTGTTGTTGTTATTGTTGTTGATGATGATGATGAAGATGATGGCGTCAGTTTATGATGATATTGACGATGATTTCTAAAATTACTTATTACCCCGGAATCCTTACCCTATCCATCTGATAAACATTTATACAGAATATAATTGTATGTATGTATTACAGGAATGTGAAGCTGTCATCGCCAAATATTAACAATATTATACTTTTGGGATGTGTTTTATGCTACAGCTCTGTCTTCGTTCAAACAACGGAAGCTGATAGTTCTGTCACTTGTCTGGTAAGTATTCAGTCAGTGGCTTGGGAAGTGGCTATCTAATTTAGTCCGGCAACGTGCATAGAGGAAACAGGCAGTTTCCTGTTAAGCGACATGTTGCTAGTTTGGTAGTCTGAGTGGAAAGTCACAGACTGAAATTCCTGTTATTGACATTTTCTGTTGCATTTATACCAAGACTGTTCATATTGCGACTTTACAGTTTATTTGATGGAGTAGGACCTAAGGTGTCTTTTCGTGCTTATTTTAGATACAATAAAGTAGGCATTTTTGTATAGATCAACCTTCCGTGAACTAGCCGGATAGTTTCCTCACTTTCAACATCAGGCTTGGAATCGAGGGGTAGATTATGTTAACCATACGGTTACGGATGACTTTAAGGAAAAATAGTCAAAAAAGTGTATCATTATTAAGTGATTAATCACTAGAAACTTTATGGTTAATTCGTTTATTCTGCAATTTACAGATCCCTTTTTGTCAAATTCTAATTATCAGATAAGAATTTCGGCATAACATATTTGTTAACAAGATAACACTTGTCAATGTCTGTGGTAAAATAATTAAGGCCAGAGTAGGAATATTTCCATTCTGAGTTAACTGTTAAAATAGTAGTTATAATAGTATATCAACAATAGAGGATTAAAAAACCTTTGGCCCTCAAACTTACTAAATCCCACGCATTTACATCTGCATAGACCAAACACGGATTTAAAGCCCGAAGGGTGATAGATTAAATATGCCGGACGGCTTCTGCAGATGTAAGTGTCCACAACAACAATAATAATAATAATAATAATAATAATAATTATTATTATTATAATGAAAAAAACAAATGAATAAATAAATAAAAAGGTTGCTTTGCGGCTATTCTTTCATTTATAAAAGATCATGTCTGAATTTGCTTATTCTGCAGTTCATTATTTGTTTTACGTACTCTTATAAAAAACACGGTTTCGTCATGCTTTAAATGTGAGTACGGTTTAGTCTTGATAGGACCGTCGTTATAGTCGGCTATGTTACATGGCGCCCTAAGTCACGTATATAAAACACGTGCAACAACAACAGCGCGTGCTTGCGTGGTTTTATCAGTAAATACATGTTTTCTTCTCGGTTTACTCCGATTTTTATGCTAGAATATTGAAAAAAAAGTGTTGAAATATTACTTTTGAACCAGAAATATTTCTTTGTGTGGATAATTTTTCTTTATTCTCTAGATATTTTTGTAAATAATTTGTAAGGAAATAACTTTGAAACATTGCCCGTGTTTCCGACATGACTGTGTCTACATCATTAAAACTTTTATATGACCTAATTAACAAAATGTCTCATATCGCGAACACTGAATCTTTATAATACCTACATCATTTATTTAGCACGATGTATTGTGACATTAAGACTTGTGTGATAATGGAAAAAACGTAAAATCCTTCCATTTAAAACACGGCAAAGTATTTTTTAATTGGTAGTAAATCAAGATTTTCTTTTATCTTACAAACCAGTCAAATTTCAAATTAATTTTGGAAAAATGTATAGCATATTGAATTATTTCTTATGTCCTGAAAGGTTTAAAAAATATTATTTTTTATGTTCTTTGTCTTTATTTGTTTTTGTTACATACATCAATGAAGTTGACAGTTTAAGAACTCATAAAAACTTAATAAAGAGATTCCCGGCCAAAGATTTGAATCATTAAAACTATAATGATAGCTATTATAAAGAAGATCTATACTACTAATTCACATTTAATCCTTCTGATTTTGTGAAACAGTTTCGCATTCCTTAAAATATTGATACGGCTATTCTATTTTAATTAGTTTTCAAATAAGAAAAGCATTAATTTCACCCTTACCTGCTCTGCCAAACACAAACTTGCTTTTTCCTAACAGTATAGTGTCAGTGAGCCTTCTAATCCTTAAGGTCTAACCATGCATGCATGGTACTGTTGGTATTCTAAATTGAAAATCCTTACATTTTGAATGGTCTGTTGAGCATATCTATTACACGAAGTCGGCATGTTGAGGTTAAAGTTGCGAGTAGTACATTCTAAAATGTAGTCAGAATGTCCGGATGAACAAAACAGGTCTGGTATTTTTTTAAAACATTGTCAAAATGTTGATCTCCTGGACTTTTAATATCAAATGATGAAATAAAGCAAACATTAATGTTCGAGTAAAATTTCGGCAGAAAATCCGGGTGTATTGAATGTAGAGGTACCATAGACAAGCCATAAATGCCAGCCGGATGTCATAGAATTCATTCATCATTCACCGAACCATTTTGTGTACGGATAATACCTCTAATTTCTTTTATTATTATGCTTATAACATTATTATTAAATATTATTATATACAAATATTACATGTATTTTTTTCAGACACGTAAACTTTTATTCAGCCTTGGATTCACGGTGACATTTGGAGGATTATTCTCTAAAACTTGGCGGGTTTACCGAATATTTACAAATAAGAAGCTTCTCAAACGGGTAATGAATATGAGCCGCGTCATGACAAAACCAACGTAATGCGTTTGCGACCAGCATGGAACCAGACCAGCCTGTGCATCCGCGCAGTCTGATCAGGATCCATGCTGTTCGCTATCAGTTTCTCCACTTGTTATAGAGTTTGTAAACGCAGCATGGATCCTGATCAGATTGCGCGGATGCGCAGGCTTGTCTGGATCCATGCTGGTCGCAAACGCATTACGTTGGTTTTGTCATGACGCGGCTCATATAATGCTTGTTATAATAGTTATTCTTGTAGGGTGACATTTTTTTATAAAATTGTGAACAAACCGTAAGCCTTTTTGTTAAATAAAGATAAAATTCGGTGCATTTGGTGATTTGTGGTATTTTTGATCATGTAATGCTTGACTGAATAAAGTGAGAAATAAAATGTGTCAGAACTTTATTTTCAGAGCTTAGGGATTACCAATTAAAATCCCTTCACCTGCTGTAAATATAACTGATAAGCCTTTGCTTCCACTAAAGAGAGCTAGGCCAGCCTGACCCAGTATAGAGCTAGACCAGCCTGAATAGCCGTACAGTCTAATCAGGCTTTATACAGCTTTGTTGTTTTTGTTAGAAAACTAAATAATTTTGTGAAATATAACCGTCAAAATGACTGAGAATGGAAATAATAAAGAGAGGATATTCAAGTTTTTTTTTATAAATGCAGGATTTATTTTCATAGAGTGATATGAAAATAAATATTTTATGAGTGGCGTAAGCCTCGAGTGAAATATGATAATTTTCATACCACAAGATAAACATTTTTTTTGACAATAGAATTTGAAAGATTTCCCCTTAAACTTTTGTGCTTTGGCTGAATTTAGAAAAAAAAGTAGTCCGGCAGGACCAGTGAAGATACGGAAAATGTGTTTCTCTGCAGTGAAAAATAGATTTTTTACAGTGAAAATATGGAAAATGAAAATAGGCATTTTATTTCATCATTATATCTCAATATTACATCTATGGTATACAGTAAACTTCACTTATAGCAAACACGGTTATAGCGAACTTCCGATTATAGGGAACAATTTATTTTGGCCCGAATTTTGCCCTTCTTTATTTAATATGAAAATATATGGTTATAGCGAACACGGTTATAAGGAATTATTGCTTATAAGGAACTCATTTCTTAGTCCCAATTTAGCTAATAGTACAGAAAATTACACTTTTATAACGAACTCCAAAATATTAGCTATCCGTAAATAGATCCCGCATTTTCAGCTTTCGTTTTCATTCGCACGGATTAAAACTCGGGCGAATGAACCGTTTATCGTTGTATATGTACTTCAATATATATATTCAAATGAATTTGTATAGTTTTCTATTTAGCATATTTGTAGCATGAGCTCTTTTCACCTAGAAAAAAATGGTTATTTATTTATTTTCTTCAATAGTTTTGCTCAAGTAAAATAATTATAATAATTTATAATCGGTTTTCAACATAATCATGCAGGAACAATCGAAAATCTTGTTTATTCTTAATCATGTAAAGAAAACGAAAAGAGTTTAGAAACAAAATATTATATTTTATGTGAAATTGAGATAGGGAGTAAAACTAAAACTGAAATAGCAATGATTTTCAAATTCCAAAAAGTACGCTCTCGGGTATTGTGTCAAAAATAAAAATAAATGACGAATATTTCTATTTCTTATTCAAATGCTCTTCAAAAATGGCGGACATTGGTAAACAATCAGCTCGTTATATGTAAATCTGTTCGCTATAAAAACTCCTGATACAAGGACCTAATTTGCTATATGCTTACAAGGAACTCCGGATATAAGGAACAGGTTTTGAATGTCCCAGTGAGTTTGTTATAAGCAGAGTTTACTGTATGTATTTTTTTGAAAAGAAAATGTCCGAAGGACCATTGCATTATTTAAACCCTGTCAAAAAAGGAAAAAAAAGAACTTGCACGAAATGCGTTTTAAATGAATCTGTTATTACAATAATTTTAATTATTGTACATTTATAATATTGTTATAGACAATAAAGGACTACCAGTTACTGGCTATAGTTGGTGGGTTGGTTGGTGTTGTGCTGATGGTGATGATTTTATGGGCAATCATCGCTCCACATACGATCATTGTCAATTATCTCGATAAACAGGTATGTTGAAAAATTAACTCAACTGAAAAATGTTTACAGTGTGTTTTAGACGATTATTTGCTGAAACCTTTGTGGAAATGAACAGTTTTTTTGTATATCTTATGCGATTTATTTCCCCTTACGTCTTAACAGTTCTATCCACTTTATTCACGGGGTGCATGTTGTTGACCGACCGTCATTTACAAATCACAGGCATGTTTTCAATTTACACATTTTGAAGTAATTACAGAAAAAAGAAAACATGTCTGCGTCTGATTGAATTATATTGGATATAATACTTTAAAAATGCTCATTTTGTCATTTCGTTTTGCTTATAAATAGTTATAGATAATTGTCATGTCTTGAATGTGATCGAGCCAATTATCAGTATTAAAGATATAGAAAAGGTATTGAATACTTAAATTTATTCTATTAACTGTAATGCATTGATTTACAAGGAAGCATGGCATGGAAGCTACAACATAAGCTTACAATAAATGTTAAATTGATATACAAATTGCTTGCAACAACTTTGTACGCGATTAATCACTGGTGAGTGATTTTTTGTTATGTGGTGTTTCATTGATTTTGAGGGTTCTTTTTGTGTAGGCGTAATTTAAAGCAAATAAATTGTTTCTTTTAAGTCCCATTAAGCTTTAGAATGATCGAGTATTTATAGTAAATATAAGCCAATTTGTGATGAAGGTGGCAAAGTATTTGACCACCATAGTATATACTTAATCATAACAACTGTAATAATTGCAGAAAAAATGCAAATGATAGAGATATGAAGCCAATGAGTAACGTTTAATACAAGCTTTCTGAAACTTAAATGGCCTTTAATGTAATATCTGGTCATTAATTTTGCAGGTGTACTTGATAGGTAACGATGCTGAAGTGCACTTGTTTGTACGTGTCTGCCATTCAGAATACTCTTCGTATTTTGGATGGGTTTTATACATTATACAAGGGGCCTTGCTTTCGTTCGGTGCATTCCTTGCATGGGAAACAAGACATGTGAGTAGTGTTGTTTTTTTTCTAGATGGAAATTATTTTTTAGTTTCACTTACTCATTAAATAAGCCGAGAGACTTCATTAAAAGGTCTCCAAAGGTGAATAAATCTGGCGGACTGCTGATCAACTATCAAGATCTTATCAAGAATCAGAGCTTTAATCTCTACAAAGACAAAACAAGACTTTATGATTATCATGCATATCAAACTACTCCGCTTCATTAGATTATAACCTTGGGCTGACTAGACGACAGCAGACAAATTATCTAATGATATATCAGTGAATGTATTATTACTCGAGCTATTCCAATCTAGCATGTGAAAGTCAAATGTTACAGTCGTTAGATACTCATTAGAAAGTTTATTGAATAGTACAAACTGTCACGTGATATTCCCATTTATTGTCCCTTTTCTCACACAAAATCTGAAAAAGTAGGTGAACGAATAAAATATTTCAGAAGTCTCCACTTGGGCTTTTTTCATGAATTGAACTGGATTTTTTAAAATATTTGTGCACTTATAAATGAAGGTTTGGTCCTATAACGCGTGTGCAAATTTTTAGATAATTTGCTGACTCTGTTTTTTCCATAATTATCATTTTTATTATTTTTTGGATGACTCATACGATAAAAAAAAATCATATTAAATGTTATACAGTACAACTTGTGCACAGCAACACTCTTTGGGAGACAAATATTTTGGTTTTTGCTGAGAGAATAAATCTTTATGAGTCTTACTTTGGGAAAAATTGATACGGTTGATGTTAAGAGGTTACTGCTCAACAAAGGGTCGCAATGCACAGGTTACACTCTTCATAATCATATATTTCAAATTTATTTTTAAGGTGAAGATACAGGCTTTAAACGATTCTCACCAAATTGGTTTGTGTTTGTACAACGTGGTCATTCTCAGTGCTGTCGGCCTCACACTGTCGTTACTCCTGGCTGACCAAGAAGTCATGATGTATGGTATAACATCCGGTTGTCTGATTATCGGTACTACTTTAACACAAGTTGTGATTTTCATTCCGAAGGTGAGTAGTAAATGTTGTGTTATACTTATTAGCCCTTACCTTTCTTACAGTGAATAGAACCAACAGTATTATGGTCAATCTTGACATGGTCTTTTACTTAAATGGCCCGTTTTCAAAGCCGCTGGTGCAATTTAGTATCGGTTTGATGTAAGTTATAAGAAAACATTCACAGAATTTAATTGGTTAAAAATAGCTAAGCTGTTCGACCAATCCAATTTGGCAAACTATCCGGAATTAACAGTAACCGGTTCAATGTTTGAACTTATTTTATAAACTGTTACAGTCAAATTAAGAGATCTATAAATAGTTTTACCAAAGTAAATATGTTATATTTCAAGCGCTTTCGTGCCTATTTTTAAAAGACTGGACCTGTTTTGGATAAGCTAAAGAAAGGTTTAATCTTGTCGCAAATTTGATACAGCCAGTCGTTAAACATTGTTGTAATATTGAAGAAATTAGAGCCCGTATTAAAGTTCGCACAAAACTCTTTCATTTGGTACAGCAGAGCAGATTTTACTCAGTTTGGGGAAGTTTATGGGTCTGATAAAGTCCTTATGAGTAGTAGAGAAATCCATTTCTGACTTGCACAGATTCGGTCAAAGATGCAGTAAAATATGTTTGACCTGTGACTGTTACAGGCAAGACAAATGTCTAATAAGTCAGGGAGAAAGTTGAAAGTGATGACAGGTGCGAGATTCGTGGTATTACAAAAGCTGTTTGCATATCGCTATCGCGGGTGCATTTCATTTTGAAGTTGATTTTGAAAGTAACTTGTAAGGTTTCAACCTTATGACTAACCTATATATTGACAAATGACCAGAAAAGGTACGAGAACACCCGCTATGCAACTGCTTAAAATGTGTCCAAACAGGGGTTAACTATTTCAAACAATTCAGAAAATTGGAAACAAAATATGGCTAACCAAAAAAAATTCAGAAAGAATTTTTACATGAGCAAAACGTTTGTATTAACCTGGATAAAAATAAGATCAAAACAATCTCAATGGATACAAAGGTAGGGCGACACCAGTGATAAAATGACATATCTGCATTTATTTACACAAACTTGACCGGCTGATGACCTTTTGTGATTTTATTGTGATTTGCTGCATTAACAGCGTTATTTCCGAAACGCCTTATATGGTATATACTTTCTAGGATTGCAAAATAACAAAATATTGGATTGGTCATAAACAAGATATTGAATTGAGCCGCGTCATGACAAAACCAACATAGTGGGTTTGCGACAAGTATGGATCCAGACCAGCCTGCGCATCCGCGCAGTCTGATCCGGATCCATGCTGTTCGCTATCAGTTTCACTACTTGTAAAAGGGTTGGTAAGCGAACAACATGGATCCTGATCAGACTGCTCGGATGCGCAGGCTGGTCTGGATCCATGCTGGTCGCAAACGCATTACGTTGGTTTTGTCGTGACGCGGCTCAATTAATTATAAACGTAATCGGCTTTTCAAGAAGCAAACGTAACCATCTAATATCCATTTTTTATCTTTGAACTTGATCGCATGATTTTTTTTTCAATTATGAAAAATAAAAGCGGGTAATTTAATGCTAATTATTTCTTAATGTGTTTTGAATTAGTGTGCGTTATGTGACAGAAACACGCAATAACAACAACCTTCATGAGATGTAAGTGGAACAAGCTTGTTATTCAAGTTACTAAAATCATACTATTCCGTGATGTTCATCATCAAATGTCTTTTATCAATAAGTATTTACAAAAATCCCGGTCAGTAGTCATTTTCTTCATTACGCCGACATTTGTTTGAACACATGTCGGTAATACTGGAGTTTGACCCATTGGCATAACGTTTGAATCACATACATTTTCAAGTAGAATAAAGCCTTCGACATTCCATAAATGAATACTACGTATCTGTTACTTAATGCTTTACTGTAATATAAAAAAAAACTGAAGCCGTGGTTGACAAGTTTGTTATATAATATTACCAATTTTTTCAAGCGATATAGATGATTTTGTTTTCTCTTTAAGTCTTGTCTTTTATGTGTTTGACAAATGATATTAATTTTGTTCTTTTCATTATATTCACGATGAACGTCACAAGGTTGATTTATGCCTACCAGGTATAATGCGCTGCTTACATTTAAGATTTATACTGCAGAATAGAAAAGATAACTGTACAAAATTAAGCGATGTACATGACTTTGTATTCATTAAACAATTTATACCTTAAGGTTGATAATTTGTTACCACCTTTTAAATACGTTCCTTTAGATTCACTCTGTATATAACACGTATAGTAAGTTATCTTCCCTTTTTATCTGAATTTTAGATAATTGTTTAGCTTGGGATTCAGGCGTTGATATTTTTTGCTTATTCATAACATACCGCTATTTTATACTCGATCGTGTTTTGATAATAGCAATTGATACGACAGGGTAAATAACTCCTGATTTTACTCTGTATACAACAATAATACTCATTTTCTTCCCTATCTTAAACTTATCTTTATACCACAAGGAAGACAACTCTGGATTTTTACTTTTTCAGATACACGCTGTATACCACAAAGTAGACACCAATATTACGACAATGAGTACAGGTGTAGCTGCAACGTCAATGAACAACGATTCACGTACACACGAGAACGAAGGCGTTTCATAGTCCTGAGAACAACTACAATAAGAACAGTGTCTGCTTTAAAAACTAAAATCCTAATTTAGATAACTCATTTATACATTCAAAACAATAGTAATTTTTAAAGATAGTTTTATCACTTTGATTATGATAAAAGTTTGAAGCTTATTTGCAAATGAGCTACCATTACTGGTGTCATATGAAGAAACATGGACTTGACCCCAGGGAGTCTCGAACACAAAATCCCTTGATTGGGAACCAGATACCATAACAACTACCGGCCCCATTCCCCACCACACCTCCTCCTTCACTGTCCATTAATTCTTGAAAATACGAAGCAATTCGGCATTTTCGAACCACTGTGTGTGAGCATTGCCAAGGGCGACAAGAAAGACATGTTTGATTGAGTACAGCGAGTATTTCATTCGAAGAAAAGTGTTAATCAGGCATCATATTTTTTCAGACAAGAATTTAAGTCCATTTTTGGTGTTACATTTGCTACTCTTGAAAAGCTTGTTTTACCCTTTTCAGCCCACATATGTAAAAAGTCTTCTAAATGTTTCTTGGACGTTTAATTGCTCATGATGAATGTTCCATATAGAAATAATAAATCCATTTCACACATTCTGCTTCTTCTGTTACAGTATATAAATACCGATTACAATGTAACATATTTTGTCATTATTCTTAAGATATTTATTATTTATTTACGTTTTCCGGTGAGCTTAAAAAATCAGTAAGATTTATGTCATATCACACTGTTTGAAATTGAATAAGATATAGAATTTGTGTCCCCGTTCTATGAAATTTAATATATAACAAAGAAAAACGCGAAGCAATTGAAGAGTTTCTTGACTCATGAATGACATCATTATTATGCGTTACTTGTCAAACTTGTGTAATATAAAAATGCGACGTAAAATAAATGTGTTTACATAACTTTATACCGCTAGAAGTGACACTTTTCTTACATGTTCGTTTCTTGTACGTTTGCGCTCTTGTTAAATATATTGAAATGTATTTTGAAAATTTCGCATTAAAAAAACTCAAATTGTACTTTGACCGTAGACGAAATATATCTGAAAGCGGATGAATTACATATATCATAAATAAATGAAAATTTCAGCAAGAATACAATCTTTCGTAATTTAAATGTACATGATTTCGCTTCTTGGAACAAATGTTACAAAATTCGAAACATTTTACAGATCTCGATATGAATATTGAGATGATTTGAAAACGCCATTGAGAAGATCACGTGATGAATACCGCAAAAATATTTGAAACAATACTTTAAAAATAGACCATAATGACCCCGTCACACCGACGTGTTTTTCTTATGGTGATTTATGTGTTTATCCTTATTTCTTCACATCATGATTTGTACGAAGTTTACGTGCTATGTTGATATAAAAGTTATTGGACCGCTATAGTTTATCAGTCGAGGTCTTCACATAGCATTGCTTAGTCAATCACGTTTTATAGTTTGATTCTCCTCTCCCGCCCTTTCATGTTAATTTTTCATTGAGCCTTTATAAGAAATACTTTTGAATCAGTTAGTTTGCCGTTTTAATTGATAACAGTGTTTCTGATTACTTGGATAATCCTATACTCCTCTATCAATTCGAACCTAATTTATTTAAACTACTAAATATAGGTTAACAAACACTTGTACAGAATACATATTTTGAATAATTTCAGGTTCATTATAATAATTATGTTATTGGATCATATCAGAGTCGAACGATTTTTATTTGCTATTCTTCTATATTTATACATATGTTTACATATAGAATGTTATAGTGCAGTGCTATATTATATGTGTTTGTTCTTTATATTCTTATTTTTGGATAATAGGATAAGTGATTTATTTCCGTTTGAGCGAAAGCGAATCAAGAAATAAAAACCATTGCTTTTAGGTAAAACGCCAAGGTCGAACAAAGAACCCCGATGTATAATTTTTTGGTAATTCAGCATTGGCCGTCACTCCTGCGTTCCGCTACGTGCGTTTCAAGTTCGTTTATGACAATTGTACTGCGTTTACATGGCGTTTATATATTACGTTCCTAAGAAGTTTTTATGTCGTTTTTTGCGACCCTACGGAGTCTTCAGTGCGTTCTTGGAATGCGCACTACGACTTCCCGACGACTAATGCGTTCAAACGGGGTCTTCGGATCTTCGGCGTTTGTTTTGTGCATGTTCAAAATAGTTGCGGTGACTTTGCGTCCTGGGGTATTGTTTCGGTCATTATGGCGACTTAAGTTGTATTCAACTCGAACCTACGGCGTCTTTGGTGTTTCTAGTGCGTCCTAGGTCGGCCTTGGAACGTAGTTAGGTCGCAGGTCCTGTGTGACAGGAGTATAGAAAAGACTTTTTATGTTTCAGATAAATAGTAGTTCATTCGTTCACCGTTACTTCATTTTCACTTGACTACTTATAAAAATATATCATTTTATTATTATCTTAGTTTTCTATAAAACATACCGCGTGAAACAAGTTTTTACCTAAGATACTGTCTTTGTGCATAAACAACATAATTGCAGATTTGCGTATATGTATATGCTTTTACGGTACTTGAAATATATCAAACAAACAAACATACAAGTAAACGGTTCCCCTATTATGAGATCACATTCACTTAACACTTGTTCTGTAACACTTGAACGTATCTAAGCTATAAACATATTCAAGAACAGGTCATTCAAATGACGTCATTACAAACACTTATGTATATTGTCTATAAAGTATCCTGCTTAACCGGAAATAATAAACAGGAACTAGCGTTCTTCTAACTGCAGTTTTAAAGATATCATAACAACTATAAGTACAATTTAAAGAACAAGATGACGCACACCAGAACAAGATGACGCACACCACTTACAATGCTTCCTTGTTATATTAGCGAATTACTGATTCAAGACCGATGCTCTCGTGTTCAGCTATTCGTTTACATTGTGTAGTTATTTATTCATTATTTTATTTAGCCTTTCAGATAAATGTCTAAGATATTTGGACTGAAACTGTAGCCTCTGAAGTGTTAATACGTAGTTATGAGTTTTCTTTTTTCTTTTTTTTCTTTTTTTTTTGGGGGGGGGGTCATCATGTGACCAAGTTTTTCATCCGCGTTCGATTTATTACTGAGGCAAATATTCTGTCTAAGTTTCGTGACAATTGAGACAAACATGTTACCACTACAAGAGTGTTAACAAATTAAATGTGGACGACAGACGACTAACGGCGGACTTTCATCTAAACCTAAAAGCTCAAGTAGTGATATATATGAAATAATTTCTCACATAAGTAGCAAAATGTAAACAAAGTTGTATTTTGGCTTCCATACTAATTCACTAAAACTGTACTTATTGCCAAAAAGCAACAGATTAAAATGATTGTTTAGGTAATTGGCATATGAATAACTTTTGAAAACTATAAAAGTACACCAAAATTAAAATGTTTTGGGAAATAAAAATACAAGCAATTCTAAGACATAATGGCCTTTAAACTTTAGCTTGATATTATACCTATATTTTTATTGTCAAGTTGAGCTGAATAAAGTACATGTATATATTTCAAAGGATTGACTGTTTTAATGGCGATTGACCAACAGTCCTTTAAAAAATGTTAAAATAAAGTAGAAAGACTTAACCACTCTTTTTTATAAATTGAATATTATCGGTAAACTCGATGGATATTATAGAAATTTTGTTGGGCAACGTGATTTTTTTAACAATCGCTTGAAGTTAGTTATAAAATTGAAAGGAATTATGGCAAAATGTAATCTTATTTTCACCTGTTTACTCACTATTTACACTTGAATGGACATGATATCACTTTAAGCAATTAAACTAATACTGTTGTATACAGTATTAATTTGAACATTATTTATTTATATAACAATACATACATGTAAGTTGCTTTTTTCTGGAATATCAATTTTTCAACTTTGATTTCGCTTTTTATTCATTACAAATAAAGAAGTGCAGCTCTGCATTGACATATTTCGTATAAAACATTGTCCATGTGTTACTTCTGGTTTCTGAGATTGACAACAATTTCAAAATCATAATAAGTAGCATGCATAATTCTTTATTAATAACATGATTCATTCTTTTTATTGCGCTACTCTTTTTTTAATGCACAACTCCTTTTTAATTGCATCATTTGCATCATCAATTTTATTTATTTATTGTTTATTTATTTTATTTTTCATTTTGTTTTGTTTTAAAAATATACACAACACATTGTAAAGGTACATTTTTATTAAGCACTTTTTTGGATACACTTTTGTACACAGAGAAAAAAGACAACACAAATGATATTTAATTATATACAAAAATATGTCATTGGGTTCAACAAGGTTAATAATATTTGCGATCTTTCAAATTAATTGTTCCAGTTTCTTATTTCTTTGAAAACTGTTTTAAAAACTATGTTATTTTTATGTGATTTTTAAATAATATCATACAATGACATTGATTTAGAATACTATGATAAAATCACGATCAATGTATGTTACATTTAATCTGAATTTGAAGTCCTGAATAAAACGTGCGTTTAGACTTTTTTTTAAAAAAAGTTAATTGTTTGAGTTATTTATAAAAAAACAATAAAAAGTAAAAAAGCAAGCGATCATAAAGATAAACAAAACAAAGACCAAAAAATAAGAAATATTTCCTGTTAAGCATTTCATATGTTGATTTAGCAAAAAAATACAATAAGCTAAGGTGGACAATATCCAAAATGACAACTTCAAAAATCAAACAATCAATAAATCTGATGATGATCCTGGCGCCCAGGCTGAGGCGTATCTAGGTTAGTACAAAATTATCATGATCATTATATTGATCTTTCAATTCCAAAATACATCCAAGAAATGCTACAAAATTGTATTTACAAAATAAACTTTCTCTTTTAATGACAGATGATTAAATCGTACACAAGACTAGCATTTTGCAATAAGTGAGAAAATACAATATTATTGTTTGAAGTTAGTAACTTACTTGTTAAGACATACAAACATTCTGCAATAATGCTCTATTGCACACAAATACATTCTATGCAAAAATATGAATGACAGATGATAAAAATTATATATATACTTCCAGGATTATTTCACAAAAGGGATAAGCCGAACTTTTTGAAAAGATTAAATGTAAGCGTTGTACAACAGTACTATTTAACCGAAAAACACAACAAATAGGCAAAAAGATTTCTGTTGAAAACAATGTTAATTTTCACAAAATGAAAGGCATACATTCAGACCAATTTTCTATTATTTCCGTAAAAGCACATTCGTTTGCTACTGTGGTGAATTGAATCAACACTCTCCAGTCAAAATTCGTGAATATTCCAACTCGCCACTCAAAGTTTGTGAAAATTAAACCATTTACAATCAAGTCATTTTTTTAAAAAAATACACAAAATATACACACTCATTACACGTACCAAATACCAAAGAGCACATGGTTAATGTTCCAACAACATAATGGCAATTTTAACTGTACCTGATGCTATAAAAAAGTAAGCAAAACACATATGAGCCGCGTCGCGACAAAACCAACATCATGGGTTCGCTTACAAACCCTATTACAAGTAGAGAAACTGATATAGCGAACAGCATGGATCCTGATCAGACTGCGCGGATGCGCAGGCTGGTCTGGATCCATGCTGGTCGCAAACCCATTGTGTTGGTTTTGTCATGGCGCGGCTCATATTATGTAAGTGTCTAATGATAATCCATTCCGCCAACTACACACTCCCTCAATCGACCCACCTGTTAAATTCAATAAAAGGGGTGACCTAAAATAGTACAATACTCATCATTCAACATCAATTATCTCAGAAATGTCTTTTCCCATTAGTTCTATGATAGCAAAATACTTCAAATCAAATTGTCGGGACAATATCATTTTGCAACCAAAGAAAAGCAAACAAAAAAATCTGCAAAATTTAAAACGTTACAGACTCGGTTTGATTGCGTCTGTTCATGTTCAGCCATATTATGGAGTTAAAATATAGGTAAAATAGACATTCTTACTAACCGACAAAGATATAAAAGCTCTTAACGACATGTACAGATTTTGGAATCAGCCGCGGGACCCTTAATTTGCTTGATTGGTCCTACACTCGTCACACTGGGCTGGATGGCTTTCCTCGAGCATTCTCCTTCGATTGGACCTTTTCACATTCCTTCAGCACTACAACTTGTCAGGTTCTTTTTACCAACTGATATTTGATAGTCTATGTGTGGTAAACTAACCACAGAATACCGCTTCCTTTTGTTAAAACTCATTTAGAAATCAACAATTTAAATTTTGATAGAATTAACATGACACAAGTTCTTTGACTTAGTTTGAATATGTACGTATCATTAATTAAAATTTCAAAGTGCAATTAAATTATTACAATTTTTATTTTTATAGACTTCTTTTCATACTCTGATGGACATCTTGTTATGTTGTAACCCTATCGACTTCTGTAAGCTCATTCATTTTAATGTCAGATGCAGGGAAAGTGCGTTTATCAAACCCATTTTTGGCTGACGAAATATCCAGTCCCGATTCTTTTACTGCCGACTCAATACCGCCCTTGTTTGTTATTTCAGTTTGCATTCCTTTTCCTTTAATATCAGAGTTTTGGAATGTGGCACCACTTATTCCTATATTTTCGGATACATCATCTTGTTCAGTCTCCTTCGTTGGTGTTGTTATACTTTCTCCTTTTGCTGGAATAACTTTTGGCCCTTGACCGACCGATATCTTCTCAGTGGTACGACCTGGCAATGGTTTTGTTCCCTTTCCTTTCTGTCTAAGAGCGTTTTCCTCAGTCATATCAATATCATTATGAATGTTACACCTAGTCCCTCTTTCTGCAGCAGTACTGTCAACAGATTCTTCTGTACCCTTTTCTCGTCAATGCCTTCAGCATCATTTTTTCTAGGAATATTATCATATGGACCGTTTGCATTTCCATTGTCGTCAGATTGCCTGTTTCCATCATGTAAGCTTGATGCGTTCATGTTATATATCGCCACCTTGATAGTTGTATTTTTGTCTGTAATGTACAGAAATGTAAAAAAATTGTATGAAATAGATTTATTGTAACATTTTATCAGACACATTTTCACAAAACACTAGTTACGAAGTAAAAGTAACTCTTACTATTTTAAACTGCAACTAGAGTAATGTTTTGTCCATGCGACAGTGCATTCTCAAAATATTTTTAAGGTGAGCGTTTAAATATGAAAGAATGTTTATATATAGGTGTGCCTTTTTCATAAATACACAACCTGATTTTCTTTCTTGTACTTTAAATATCTTTCAATGCAGATTAATCTTTAAAACATTAATATTTCATTAGCTAACTATCAAAGAAAATACCTCCTCTTGTTTCTTGGTATTTGCTCGTGTTTGGTTGTTTACCGTCTTTCTGTTCATCTAAAGGTGGGGCAGAAGGAGCAGCAGGTACTGTGGGGACAACAGGAGTCTTATTTGCTTCATTCTGCTCACGTGACTCGTCATTGAGTGCACTCATTTTCAATGTTTCATCTTCATTATTTATACATTGGTCTTCAGCTGCTAACAAGGGTTTGTCAATTTCTCTGCTTTCGAATGAACTATCAGTGTTTGATCTTGACACTCCTTGTCCCTTTCCTTTTTTACAGTGTGTGTATTCTAGTAAGATTCCAATGATGATGCACAATACAAAAATAGCTGTGCTGAGTGCTATAATTGCACGTTTGAAACCTATAAACACAGTAAAGTATATTCACTTTCTAAATCTTGTTAATGTATAGAAGATAATCTTTGAAGACAATCTAAGAATTAACATTATTCGAATATCATTTTTATCCAAATGATACATATCTATTGTTTTTATCAATATTTGAAATACTTATGGAAATTGTGTCCATTGAAGACCAATCTATATTAATTTTCAGCAGAAAACAACATTTGAAAATATTTGCCGAAACTTAGAAAGTGATAAAAAAGATTGCAGAACAATGAAAATAACGTAGCTTTTCCTTACCAATCCAAGATAGATCAGAACAGTAAGGAAGTGCCTTGTGACTCCAAGAGTCATTGCCTAAGCACACAATTGTATCATTTCCTTCTAATCTGTAATCAACGTCGCACCTATACACAATTGCAGATTCTGATGGACTTCGGCTACCATTGTAAGATGGGAGCATGGCATTGCCGTGTGCTTTGTTCAGCAGCATTGGTAAAACTTAACAGGAACTTTCTGTAAAAATAAAAAAAATACACTTATATACAGTATAAAAGTCTTAAGGAACTCATTGTCGCAAATCTCGAAAGAGATTTTTTACAGAGCATTGTCGTAACAGTTTCTAGTTTTATCATCAAGTTTTAGATATTTACATTTTGTTGATATCCAGATACATGGACATTTCATTGGTTAATTGAGGAAAACTCGTCATCATTTTTATATGTAGCTTTTTGGGGATGTTTGCACGAGGCTCTGAACAGATTTACTTGGGGCGTTGCCTTGAAGTTTCGGAGTTTTTTTTAAAAATGTAGAAGTATCATCAAACATGTATGTAAGGATAAAAAAGATGTTAAAATTTCGGATAATTTAAAAAAAAATAGAAAAACTGTGTACAAGGTAGGAAAATAATTACTTTAAAAACTGAATTGTGTTAACTTTGATATGGCTGAAATCAAAGAATATATAATGGGTCGCCACAGTCTTGACATATTTTTTTAAACATTTATCGGTTTCTGTCTGTGTTTATTGTAAATGGTATAAATTGACATCTTTAAAAAGACTTTAACCAATGCTAATTTCAATAATAATCTATAAACAGATTTTTTTGTGGGGAAGGGGTATAAATCAATTACCTATTTCTTTCAAGTTCTTTGTTATTGCTCTTTCAACAGCCAAATCTGTAAAAAAAAATAAGTGCATCGATATTAATGAATGAACAGAAACACTGTATATTTATTGAAGAAACAATAATCTTTACATGGAAATAGTGGCACTCTTATTATGGCAGATTTAACATATCTTCTCATCATCTAAAGTATCTAAAACTATCATTTTGTACCTTGGCGATATTTTTTTTTAAAAACTATTATACTTTATCTCGGCATTATTCTTGTCTTGGCATTTTACTATCTACTATTTAATACCTTGTTAGTATTTCAATCTATTATTATTTAGAAGTATGTTGTACCGTGTTTAGGCCCATTTTTAATTTATTCTTTTTTCCATGACAGTATCTTCAATTGTTACTTTGAATTAGTCTGAACTTTTTCTACCTTGGCAGTATTCTGTACAGTTCCTTGGTTGACTTGCTGTGCCGCATCCCTCTTTGATTTCGTCACAATATCTACAGTACTTGAAAGTCTCTGAGCAGAATTGAAGCTTATCAACACTGAAATGACATTGTGTTGTGTACGCACGATTATTTGTAGGAAAATTAATCACATTTAAAACAGACATAGATCAACTATTCCATCTTCTGAGAATAATATTGACATGAGATATTAATTATGTAGCTCATCAACATTTCGAATGTAACTATTAGTATGTGTATATAAGTTTCATTTTTAGTTCAGAATAAAACCTTGCTTTTAACAAGATTACACTCTTTAAGATAACAAGTTACTGCAAAAGTCACAAAAAATGTTATAAACACAATTTATTTATGTATTTCCATATTCGATAGCATTTCACTACAATACGGTATAAATCTATATTTTAATAAATGCCAAATTGCACTAATCAACTACTCAAACATTTAGTCTATTATATGAAAAATTGTGTATTTGGGCATTTGAACTAACTCACAAAGATAGGAGAAATAGGATAGAAATAGAATAGGCATTGTTCATTAAAGTCGTTTTCAATGCGACTTAATGTACATATAATTGCGTTATAGGAACTTTTTTTTTGTTTTTTTATGACATGGCGGGACTTGAAATATTTTTCAAGACTCATGTTCAATTTGATGTAGGGCTATGTCGGACCGTATATGTCACGGAACGTGTGGGACATATTCGGCCGAATTAATCACAGTTGTATGTATGTATGTACCATATACGTTTCTGCAATTTGGTAGTAAATGCCTCACCGTACACATTTTACACAGTAACTACCTTCATCAACGTTAATAATAAATTATCATCATCAACAACAACATTATCATTATCATCAATGAGTCGAAAATATGTGCTAAATATTTTGAATATTAATATTTATTGACTTAAAGATAAAATATCGACTTTTCATGCCGGAGGGGGATTTAACGTTTTACTTGTCTTTGCGGCTGTGCCTGAGTACATGCGTCTGTCCATCCCGGCATCTTTAGTGTTGCTCCATAAATATTTTAGTTACGGGTCATGAAATTTAACATGAACATTGGTCAGCATTATGTTTTTATGCACCTGGCATTTCGCTAGTCGATTCGGGCAGTCATGCCAGAGTCATTTCTCTTGACTTAGTCAAATCGGAAATAGCCAACTTGTGTTGTGTGAAGCATCAACAGTATTTGAACTAGGGGCATGGTCATGAAACTTGTAAGTCTATCTTACGCACACAAAGAGTGATTTTGACATGTTCTTTACAAATGCTGTTATACCACTAAATAAGATAAATTACTTTACGCCATGACTTAGATATAAGCAAAATCAAAACTTTTTTCATCACGAAAAAAAAACGATTTTTGAACATTTTCATAAATCATTTTATTAACACTGCAAACCAGATGTATAGTTTTACAGTGATATACACGGGAGGAGAAAGAATGAATGACGTTCTGTTAACTCCATATTTAAACTTGCCTCTTACACGTTATGTTATGCCTATTTTCGAAATGACGATTTTAAAAACGCGTTGAAGTTGTTTCAAACAAACTGATTGACAGACTTTAACTGCTTTTCGCATGGTTGCCACTAAAGCTCTAGCAAGATGTGTTTCCTTCCTGATGAATCACAAAGTATTAATGATACAATGATAAGGGGTAGTGGTGACCTAATGGCTAAGATGTTTGCCAGGATTTTTGATTCTGCCAAACTCGGGTAACGACTATGTTTCCTCATGTGATTCTAGTACTGGTAAGTTTCTCTAAAGTGATAAATATAAGTAGAAAGAACGTGTTTCGCAATCAAGAATGAATATGTTTAAACTAATACCTTGTAGATTTATTAAATGGAATTATTTTTTTTTTGTTCAAGCAGCTAGAAATATAAAAAAAAAACATATTTAGTGCAAGACGAATATATGTTCTTGTTTACAGGGATATTGCAGTACGATACTCACGAAATATATTTTGCGCTTATTATTGTGAACTATTTGTTTATAATGTACTTTAAAAAAATCGATGAAATATTTAATATACACGTTTAAAAAAAATCGGTGAAATATTTGTTTTATTATACATTTTTAAAAAATTCGATGAAATATTTGTTTATTTTACACTTTTAAAAAATTCGGTGAAATATATGTTTATTATACACTTGTGATGATGATGATGATGATGATGATGATAATGATAATGCTGTAGAAGATGGTTCCAATTTCGGCTGAAGACATCTGACGTCAGTGAATATACGGTCCAACATTGCATGTCTGTAATAATCTGATTTATGTTCTCCTTTCATACGAAAGAATATTTTAGGATGAGTATATTAAGACTTGTACCACAGGCACTTATCAATTTTCATATCAAACATTTTTTAAAAAAATGACTTCATACATATTTAGTACATACAGATATTTCTGATCGTTTATTTTACACTGATTTCATTGAAGATAGTTGTTTATATTTTAACATTTACTTTATGGAGTGGGCTTCAAAATCAATATTCACAAGTAGAGATTACCAGTGGAACATTACGTGGTATTTCATTTAAAATCAATCAAACAAAACTTGTCTACGTTTTGGTTAGATTAAACTATTAGAACAGTATAAAGGTGTATTGTTTGCTTAGACCATAAAATGTGATTGCATTTCACATTTTCATTTTCAGTACAAAAAATAAATTTATATTTATTCTATCAATTTTATACCTAATAACTTAGGATACTAAAATGGTTAATAAACATTCTCTGATCAATATCATTTTTTTCTTGAACTCGCTAATAATGAGAGGACATCATCAGTTCAGCTTGATAAACATGTATATTGTCATATGTCTAACGAACAAAAAGATAACTTGGATTTATTCACAGCATGAACCATTCATGTTATTATGTGAAATTAAGCTCTTCATTCCCTTTATCATGTGCTTTTATAGATACCATGACGGCTTAGAAAAGAAATATTGGCAAAATTCTGACTGTTAAAAAAATTATATCAATTATGAAACTGAAGCACATGAATTATCTTCAGTGTTAAAACGCGTAGATCTATATGAAAGTATCTTGTGAAAAAAATGCGTTTGAATAATTGAAAAATCCTGTCAAATAACCAGTTTTTTTTCCTGCAAAAGCCATATTAATCGACATATTAAAAGACAAGGTTTTACGCACGCGTAAAATGGCTGCGAAGGAATGGTCAGCTGTGCACTGTATATTTTTAGAAATACAAAGAAATTGCCCGTAGACGAATGTCTGTTTAGATCTGCGCAGTTGATAAAGTTAAAGGGGAAACATAACGTCACGAAAATTTCATTATGTCGTTCTAATATTAAATACTGCTGCATTACGGGTACGTACTCTTTAGTCAATATCGTATTGTGCCAGGAATCCGACACCATGTATCTAATCTATATATAGACAGAGCAAACATGCTTGTAATGGTTTATTCTAATGCCTTGGACATTATTAATTATATCCCAATTAAACTATATCTTAACCTTTAATAAGCAAATTACCTACAATATAAAAACAAATTTGTTTATTAACATAATATACATGTATAAGACATTAAATGCATCAGATCTGTTACCAAATCTAACCAAAATAAAAAATACACACGTGTGACCTCGCCTTTCTATATAAAAGGTGACTAAGCTGCAAAGCACTATCTCAATCATCTCAAAAGAAAAATTAAGAAACTTTAAAATATATAAGTTTGAATTTCTTCAAGACAATGTCGTTTCCTAGTTTCAAAAAGTAAACAAACGTATAGATTGAAGAAAAAACCAGATGCTTACAATACATTGCAACATCAATGTGAAACATTCCCGTTCCTCTTTATATGTTTACCTTTGTCATTTATAGATTAAACGTGTTTACGTATGATTTAATTTTAGCCCGGTTCCAATCTTCCAAA